TCCGATCATTTTTATCAAAAGGAGCAATTTAATAATCATTTTCTCCTCTACCGTTGTAAGAAGGTCTCAACTATACTTATAGGTTTTTTTGTTATGATAAACTAAGAAGGTTTAAAGGTAATAATTTTAGACCTATTAAAACTACTATCGCACGAAGACTAAAAAATATTTGATTATTAAAGATAAAAACATGATTTGTTTTGCATAAATGCTTTGTGGCTTTAATGAAACATTTAGTGTGTATTAAAGCTATGTGAAACAAATGTATATCTTGGATATTCAAAGAGAAGGTCTTGTCCAATGGCACTTGATGATTTTAACTCTTGTTATCCAAATATGTTTCCCGATGGCAATGATTTTGACCTCTAACATTTTTATTAATGAGGTAAATTATTTGACTTAATTACACCAAGAGTTCTTTAAGTTATTTAATTGTAACAGGTAGGTCCTTTATGTTTTTTTCTGCTATATATCAGTCCTTTATGTTGACTATTTTTTTATGAATTTGTTCCAAAAGTGCATAGTTCTCATTAACGATGTTTGTGACTGTAACGTTGCTGAGATGGTTGTAATGTTGTTGATGTCATCAACCTTTATTTAATTAAACAAAATTCCTTAATTTAAGCAGCATCCCTTAACTTAATCCTTAAAATTCCAAACTAAGAAAGGGAAAGGAGTTGCTGCAAACGGAGAAAGGATATGACGTATTCGAGGAAGACGAACTGAGAAGCGAAACATTGAACGTTGAGGTATGTATAGTTTTCCATATCTTAAACATATTTGCTTTATTGAAATATAGGATTTTGTATGTGGTCCTTTATAGCTCTACTGATTTCTACAACGTATAACTGTCTTCCCAAAATGGATGTTTTTATGTTGAGTTTCATCATAGGGAACAGTTTGATGATATGAGTACATATGTAGGAGGGATAGTGTCAAACTAGAAGTGTGATGGTGATAGATGGGATTATTTTGAAAATTTGGGTGTTGTTAAAGAAACGGGGTATCCTGGGGTACTTGAAATGTGGTATGATTTTAGTGGTACATTAAAGGAGCTAGTTAATAACTTTGGGGCAATAGAACGGCTAAATTGGTCCAAGACTAATGGATAGGTAGAACTATACATAGTCCACCCTATTTCTCAAACTGATGTAGTAGATGTAGTTGATGTTCAACCTATACTAACTTAAGTCCAACCCATTGAACAACAAATTGAGGGCCAATCTAAGATACCTGACACCCTTCTTGAGATACATGACACTGACACCCTTCCTGAGATACCTGACATTGAGACCCTGCTTGAGATATCTGAACAAAATGCAAAAATTATTGAGAGTGATCTTAATAAAAAAAAGTGATGATAATGAATTAGGTGCAGGTTTGATGACTCTGATGATGAGGTATTAAATGATGGAATTAATGAGGTCTTGGTATGATTAAGAGGCTTTGTTGTTGGTCAGAATGATTAATAGGTGGATCAATTAGAAGTGGATGATTCAACTCAAGGAAAAAAGGAAGAGTGGTAGACCAAAGAAAAATAAGGCCAAATGAAGTTCCAACAACAAAAGTGGAAGACCTAAAAAACAAAGAGCTGATGAAGCCATTTTTGTTGAAAATGAACCATCAAATGATGAAAATACACTTAAGTTTAGGTTTGTTAAAAGGAGTAGAGGAAAATGGTAGATTAGGGTTTGTCAATTTTAGGTTATATATCTGAAGAGTTGAAAATGGGTGAGGATATAAGTAGTGGCTATTTAGATGAAGGTACTAAGAAAAAATACTCATCAGTTGTAATGCCTAAGAAGTTTGTGGACTATAAGTGGGTTTTTGATACCATGTTCTTAACAAAGGAGGAGTTTAAAGATGCAATAGCAAACTATGTTGTTAACAATGGTAAATATTTACACTTTATAAAGAATGATAAGACAATGGTTAGAGTGGGATGCAAGGAAGGGTATGGATGGGTTGAATTATGTCCCAAATTGCCAAATGAGGATACATGGCAACTGAGAAAAATGAATGACACTCACACATGCAATAGGGAGTTTAATGTAAAGATGTTTAACACTAAATGGTTTGGAAAAATGTTGTATTCAACTATTAGAGTTAATCCTGTTGTGAAACTTACTATAATATGTGATAAAGTGCATGATAAATATAATACTGGTATGAGTAGGTTGAAGGCTTATAGGGCAAGGAATGCATCACTTAATTATGTAGAAGGGTCATTCAAGGAATAATATCTTAGGTTGTATGACTACACACACAAGTTACTGAGATTGAATCTGAAAAGCACAATTAAGTTGAAAGTCCAACCAATTGAATCACAAATTGAGGAAAATAAGCAACAACATGAGAACTATGTCAACAGACCATTATTTCAAAGTTTTCAGCGATTATATATGTGCATTGATGCTTGTAAGAGAAGTTTCCAAGTTTGTAGACCAACCATTGGAGTTGATGGATGTTTTCTCAAAGGTCAATATGAAAGATAGATTCTTGCAGTAATAGGTAGAGGCCCTAATGACCAAATGATGCCCATTGCATTGAATGTGGTTGAAGTAGAGATTAAGGACTCATGGGCTTGGTTCCTTGATCTTCTATTTCAATATTTAGAGGGTCCACAAGTTTGCAAGCTATTCACTTTCTTATCAGATTAGCAAAAGGTACAATTCACTTTCATTGAATCATTAGCATTTTACTAACATGAACTTTATGTTTAAGGAATGTTACCTGCATTAGAAGAATTATTGTCAAGTGTTGACCAAAGATTTTGTGTAAGACACTTGTACAACAACTTTAGAAAAGGTTTCCTGGTAAGCAGTTTAAGGAAATGATGTCGAGGGCAGCAAAAGCAACATATCCTCAAGCATGGAAAAGGGAAATGAAGGAAATGAGGAAGGTTAATGAAAAGGCCTACAAATACTTGTTAAAAAATTGCTCCTAGATTTTGGAGTAAGTCTAAGTTCAATCATAACAATAAGTGTGATGTGATGGTTAACAATATGTAAGAAACATTTAATAATGTTATAATTGGACCAAGAAAAAAGCCTATTGTAACAATGATAGAGGATATAAGAGGGCACCTTATGGATAGATGGGTAACAAATAGAACCAAGATTGAAGCTTATAATGGTTCTGTACTTCCAAGAATTAAAAAGGTTTTGGAAAGAAAAACTAAAATCTTAAGGTTCTTTATGGCTAGGTAATTCAAGAATTATTACACTTATTCAAATATCACAATTATTTCACTTAAATTATCTTAGAATTCTAACTAACTCAGTGCATTTTTTATGTTAACAAGGTTTGCATGTGAGATGATTTATGAAGTAAGGCTCATGAATGTGACAGGAGACAAATTCACAGTTGATCTAAAGCAGAAGCAATGCTCTTATTAGAGTTGGATGCTTACTAGCATTCCATGCTACCATGCAATTATATGCATCCAGAGTAGAGCTGATGACCCTACAGATTACATTTCTCCCATGTATAGGAAAGAGACTTACCAGGCTTTCTACTGACATATCATATACCCAACCAATGGTGAAAACTTATGGGAAGAGACCCCATACCCCCAACATACTGCTATCACCATCAAGAAGAGCACTAGGGTCCTAAGAGAATAAGGAACAAATATACTGATGAGAAGAGAAAAGATACAAAAATTGTTAGCAGGAAAGGGCTGTCAAATAAATGCTCAGTGTGTGGTAAATCTGGCCACAATAAATCCTGATGCCCAACTGCACCAAGACAACTAGCACAATCTCAAACACAAATAACCCAACTTGAACAATCCCAAACACAACCAACCCAATCAACACAAGTCCAAACACAACCAACTCAATCAACACATCCCAAATTCAACCAACTCCGAGACTTCAAACTAGACTATCACCAACAAGAACCTAACACACAAATTCACAATCCCAACCACAACCAACCACAAGACTTCAAACTAGGCTATCACCAAGAAGAACCCAAACTCAATCAACACAATCCCAAACACAACCAACAACATGAATTCTAACAAAGTTATCACCAAGAAGAAACCAAAACCAAGTTGCACAAATCCAAAAAAAAAAAATAACCCTTACACTCCAAACAAGGGTACCACCAAGAAGAAGTATTGCATTATTTCAAAGACCAACCCTTGCACTCCAAACAAGGGTATCACCAAGAAGAGGCACTGCGACATTTCAGGGACCAACTGCAGCTTTTCAGCCACCAAGAAGGATCATACCTCAGTTGCCCATAAAGAGAAAAAACCAATAGAATGTTGTCTGTTGTATTTTTCTAAACAATGATCATGTATTTTAGATGGTGTTGTTGTTTTTAGGATACAATGTGGCTAACTTAGAAATATATATTTTAGATGATGATTATATGTTTTGGATGTCTACTATGTATTTTGGATGGATACTTTATGTATTTTGTTTGGTTTAATGAATG